CCACTCAAAATGAAGATGTCAGTTACCCCTACACAGTTCTTTACAAACAAGTTATCGCAGGCAAATTTTCCACTCAGAGAAAACATCCACATCCAACACCGGGACTGTGATCAACCGTTGAAAGGCCAGCCCAAAATGCCACGTGGAAGTCACAGCAAAAGTGGGTCATCCAGTGGGGCGATGTCCAATCGTCAGGTGGCTAAATGGAGACGGCGAGAGGAGACAACCAATAAAGCGTGCTCACGGATCTCAATATGTTTTTCCCCTCCCCATCTCTGCCCGTGTGAAATTCACCTCTGATCCTTGTCTAGCCACAACATCCTAGCGTGTGAGAAGCGGACTTCAACGATATTCAAACTCCCACTTCCTCTGGCCTTGTTAACTCCAAGTTCCTTTTATTTGGGGGGGGGGTGTTTGGAGGGGGTTGTAAGAGGTAGCAAGAAGCCGAGGAGAGAGGAGGGCACAGAGGGCAAAAGTAAAAGTTATCTGCACTTTTCCCAGCGTGAATCTTGATTAATTTCTGGGGCGGATACAGAGAGGTTTAGTGCTTCCATTACCATTTGCCAAACAGGATGAATAATTTAAGTCCTGATCTCTGCCTGTCGCTGGAAAAGGGTGGAGACCTTTCTTCCCAGGAAAAAAATATGGAGAATTTCTTTAAAAACAGATTAAATATAAAAACATTTTGTGGTGTTGTGGTCCTTGAAGCAACTGTATCTGTAGCAACTAATACCTTTCTTGCTTAATTCAAATTTTGAGGCAAGTAACAGGTGGTCTATGAAATGTTTTTTCCTGTTGGGATATTAGATATCCAACAAAATGTCGACTTATTACGGCTAGCAGTATCTAGGCTCAATATTTCAACAGTGAAATATACAACTAGTTCTCACCTCAAAAATAAATATCCGTGTAATTTAAAGGCTAAAATTGTTTCAGGCATGTGGCCAATCGTGCAACATTTTAGTGATTTTTACATTTAACTGGATCCGGAGTCACATGAAATTTGAGTGGCTACAAAATATGGTCTCATTTGTCTTAAATGGATTCCATTCCTCACCAAGTTTGACTTGTCTACCCGGTAGTCTCAATTTTACAGTACATAGGTTTTTCTTGGAATATAAGCTTCAGACTTTGCAGCACCTTGTACATATATCTCCAAAAATTGGCCGGGTATGAAGCGGAGCCAACTATACAGGTGGGCAATTCCTGAACCATCATACCCTTTTTGCCAAACAAATAAAAAACATCTTTCCTCCGGGTCCGACCAGTTTCTAATTTAGCTTGAGATATATGGCAAAAGCAACAATGGAAGCATGGTGTCGGTTAAATTCTTCCCTTCCTAGCGCTGGGCTGTTGTGGCAGCAGGACCAAAATTGAATTTCCTCCAAGATTCCAATCTCGTGGTCAACACCCAGATCTAAATTCTTCTCCATCCTTCAGAAGATAGTGAGTGGCAAGGGAAGGAGGGGGGGGGTGAGAGCCAGAACGAGTCACTTCCATTGGATGTGACTGACTGCTCATCATAAAAACTGCAAATGTAATGGCGCATCTGAGAAAACTCAATGGACCACTGGCTTCTCAACACACTGCGCAGAAGAGATGAAGGTATATGTATACATGTAGGTGGACCTACCCTGCTTAGTTACTCTTAATCTACATCTATACTTGTTATCTTCAGTCAACGGAAACGCAGCTGGAGTCAAGACACAAAGTGGTCCGTATTTAGGAGGGGTTAACTGTGTTGTTTACAATGGGAGTAATTGCATCTGACTAGAATTCCGAGTAAAATATTCGACACTTTGCATAATTTTATGTACGTATGCTGAATTTGATATTCACAAAGTAATAATGTAATAAAGCAAACACGACAACATTCTCTGTGAAAAATCTGAATGTTTGCATTTTTTTTGTTTTAAAAGAGAGACCACAGATAAGAGTATTTTTTACTAACTGTGTTACAACATAGGAAGCTCAAATCTTCAGCGTGAGTTGTTGCTAAATAGTTGAACTCAACTGCACAAAACGTAGCACAACATAAATTTGTTCAGCTTGATCTCACGTGCAGGGAAGCATTCAATGATACCGAGAAGACGCTAAGCTGTGTCATAAGTGCCATCCTCCCAGCAGCAAGCTATTAATAAACTGACTCCGGACGACTTTCAACCCCCCCACCACCACCTCTCCAACCACCACAAATGGATATTTACTAACACGCAGAGATTGTGGTCATTGCGGTTCTCACTGTCAGAAATAGCCCAAGATGACAAGAAGATGGCAGCTGCTGTACAGTACAGTCTCTGCTTTCACCTTGACTGAGATTAACCACTAGCAAATGCAAGCCACGGCAGCAAGGAGGATTCCTCCCCTCCCCCCCAAAAAAAAATTCCTTCCCTGTTTTCAAGAATTCACTGTGGATCCACCCAGCTTCCGTGAGAGTCACATCAGGGATAAACTGTTCAAAGCTCCCACTTCCTCCAACTTGTATCCTGATTTCTCCTTGGCGCTGCTTCTCTCTCCACCCTTCCCTCGCTTCCAATCCATCGCTAGGAAGACGATCATTCTCTCCCCCCTCCTCCCAGCAAGCTCTGCTCCCCCCCCCTCAATTTGAGCGCTGTAGTCAATGGGGGAGGCGAGGACAAGACGGGGCCAGCGCAGGAAGGCGACAGGAAATTGAGCTTCTTGAAGAGATTGATGGGAGAGTGCCTGGATCTGACCCCAGGTCAGTCAACGCCAGGAGGAAAAGTCCAAGGAATGGTACTAGACATCAGGCATAACAACAATTGGTGTGAGGTAGTGTTCTGCAGGGAAGACAATTCAACGAAGGACAAAGGGCAAAAGAAATAAAGGTTTTTGTGAAGTGCTCAAACATTCAGGTACAATACACACCAACTGCCTAACAGGCATAAGGCCAGAAGAAAGAGAAAAGAAAAGGCTTAGCTGGACAAAGAATGCAACAAACACAAAGCTGGACTTAGGTAAACTCACTACTACTCCCTAGTGTGGGTGAAAAGCCATGACAACAGGCAGCGGTACATACATTCTTAGATGTACTAATAACAATGATACTGTTTACTGAAAATGGGTCACTTGGGAGACATTCCC